ATCCTGACATGATTATAAATGCCGACAAACACTACTGGTAGTACATGGCCCATTAGTTTAACTCGGTCTTCACCTTTAAAATATTGTTTTCTATAGATTCTAAAGGGGCAATGTTAACCTCGTCAATCCAAATCATCATGTTATGTCTTTGATTACAGGTTTGGGATGTCACAAGAAGCAAGGAAGAGTCAGCCAGATCTGTCGTCTCCAGGTAAAAAGTATTTTTAAGTCTCCACTGTTAATACCTTATTTTACAGGCATGTTATTTGGTCTGTATATAAAAGTACAAACCAGAAGCAATGCACGGAAAAGTGTGGACACTCTCCAGTCAGTGCCTAGATCTGGTCGGTACCAAATTTACATATAGGTTCTTCTACATTCAGGCCTAAAAATTCAAAATGGCTGGTAGTTATTTAAAAATGTGCTTTCACAAAAAAACACATTGAAGCCAGAAAGTTGTCGTAGTGTGCCACTTTTGATATTGGTTTTGGGTGCTAAATTCGCTAAATTAAATAATATTAGAGCTGATTGTTTCCTTGACCAATTTGTGAACTTGAAATCTATTGAATATGCTCAAAATATAGAAATACAGTTTCCATGTCTTTGTATATCAAACACAGGTCATTTGTTTGGCAAAAAACATCAATGCAAGAATTAACAACAGTAGCAAATTTCTGTTTTTGAGCTCAGTTTATGTAGAAAATCTGTATCGTTGATTTTACTGCTTATTTGTTATATAATATAATAATATATTTAATAAAATATTTAAAACTACGATGAAAGTATCATAATATTATTACCAGGAGGGTAGGTGATTTTTGATACTATTAGTAGTACAATGTGGAGAATTAGATGTTGGGAGAATTTGAAGTGTTCACTAAGGGGATAGAGAATGAGATAGAAGTACCTGACAACATATTTTATATTCATGAATATATTATGTGCTTAAAAAGAGTACTTATTATAGCACCACACTCTGACCAACTGAGCTTACCTACCACTTGTATGCTTGGGTATTTGACAAGATTCTCAATCGTAATAACAATCATCGATGCAAGATAGTGTGAGAGCTGCAGATGAGCGCACAATTAAGCTTAGATTCTATTCTGAATCCAATATGGCTCTGTTGGGAGTTAATAATGTGACTTACCATGAGTATATGTTAAGTGTTTAGTTGAGCTGTTATCACCTATTTTGACTTTATACCAGGGGTCTTTCTAGAAAAAAACTGCAAGAGGGAGCACTGCAATTCAGGCCCACCAAGTTTGGAAATAGGGTTCTGCCTACCAGGGTGTGGAGTTTTTGATAATTCTAAGTTAGAATGGAGCATTATATGGCTTTCTTGACGCAAAAATTACTGTCAGACAGGTCACAGTTGAAGACGTTTATGGTTGCCAAAGAATCTGCTCACCAGAATAAGGTGTGCATGGCCATGGCATGAGGGCGCTGCGCCCCTGTTTCCGTGTTTAAAAAAATTCCTGTTTATACCCAAAACCTGACAGGTCTGTTGGCTGAATGTGAACAGATAATTAAACTTGATGCATACTTCATGTAAAGTGCCTTTTTGGAGCTCTTTGGTATTACAATATTTATTCTATTCGAAATGCATTTCCAATGAAAGCGCATACAAACCAAAAATTTGTGGTATACATATGATGAATATTTATATTTCTACTTACATGTAATAAAGCAAATATGGTAATATGCTTTATTGCAGAGACTAAAAAAATGTTTCTCCAAAAATTTGTCTTGTGAACGTGTCAATGAATACTTTTTTCACAAAGTATCCAAATACTATTATGATTGATTAGTATTAATCACTCTTAACCTATTCAATTCTTATGTAAATTCGGAAGACCACGTAGGAACTGGAATTCAATTGTCATGTTTTTATTTATTTTAGGTGGTGGTGGTGGAGGTGGGGACAAGACTAAAAGTAGGATGGGTTTTTATAAAGATAGTGATTTATCGGATCAAAGCGTGTTTTTCAATCCGTCAATATTTCCACCACATAGACCAGACAAGGATGTAAGTATGTAACCACAAGAGGGCTCAGTTCAAAGCCCAACTGTTCCTTACTTCAAAGCAAAACTGTATTACCATGCCACAATCTAAAAATGAAATGTTACCGTATTAAAACTTGCTAATACAATTTTAAAACAAACTTCGTTAAGATTTATGAAAATGTGTGTTTCACCACCAGACTTTCTTGCCCATATGTTTCTGTACTTTTTTCAATATCGCAGGAAAGTAACCCTAATTTTGAACATAAAATTTAGTTAAATTTTTAGTTTTTACTCAAAAGATTTGGTTATTTTTGTTCCTATAAATGAGACTAATTTGTGAATTGCAATGGAAAGTGAGAATTGGTGTTGAAAAGGGTAAATAAATATTTTGAGCAGACTATTTTACGTCAAATATAGTATGGTGCGTGTGTATATAGTAAATCTAAAAGAATGATACAGGAATAGTCTGTCTGTCTGTCTGTCTGTCTGTCTGTCTGTCTGTCTGTCTGTCTGTCTGTCTGTCTGTCAATGCATTTGCAGCATTTCTCGTACATTCTGCAGCAGATGTCAGACTTGTATATTGATGAAGAATTGTATATTTGAAGAACTTTAATGTTTGTGTGTATTCACTGGGTTTGTGTAATTTTTAGTAATGCAGTTAGTTCTGTCTTATTTATACATTTACAATTCAATGTAGCATAACTTACTGATAACTGAAGTTAGTTGAATTGTAAACTATGTTAAACCAATGCTTTTACATTTTAATATTGTATACCATCATGCAGCACTTTGTTAACTTACAGCTTGGGTCACAGTCATTATCTCAGTTTGGTGCCAGTCTATATGGGCAACAAAGCAAAGATTTTCAGATGTTTCATCATGATCAGGGTGAGTCTTGTAAAAGTACTCTAAATAAATTTTATGTTTCAGAGAAAGCCATAACGTATACATTTTGTGTCACTAAACAGATCAGATATGCATCTATCAAACAGAATTTTAGGAGTTATAGCTTGCAGTAATTTTTTGGTATTTCACTGGGTATTATTATCCTACCCTATTAGGAAATTGGTTTGAACGGAAAGATGTATAATATAAGAAAATTATTAGGATTGTGACGTTTGGGACTACTTTATTGCATGGGTCAGAATACATACTTTTGCAAAGGTGCTATATGTCACCTGATCACCCAAGTGTATTGATATGTAAAAAGTAGTGCCGTTGGTGTAACTGAAAATGGCAAAATAAACAAGAAGTTAAACTTAAAAGGTTTCTGGTTTCTTTGATGTTTTGTGTGTTCAACATATCACAGGATACAACAAGTAAACATTCAGAAGTTGCATTGCTGAATCAATACTTAGGGTTATAGCCAGTGAATGTCTAAGAAGTGTCTGTCTAAAATCTATATTGAAATGCAAAGTAATACTTACTGGTCTACAGCCACAGACTTGGCCTATTTTTTGTTGATTATTCTTTGCTATTTTGTAAAGACTGGAAATTTTCAATTAAAAGTTGACTGTTTGCTAAAAGCTTATTGATACTCTCAGTGTATTGTTGTGTTCATATATTATCCTTTATAACCTTATGAATATTAATACTTAATTATAAATAAAGTCACCTAACTCTTGCGACGTTGTTCGTACTACAGGTAGTATAGGAATGCAGAATGTTCCTAGGGGAATGCCAAATCCCACACAGCAGTTCCCTGGCAGAACAGTTACAAGTCACCATGGTAATATACCTGGGCATGTGACACCAACTAGTACTGGGGTGCCAACCATGCCATCAGGTCTTCAACAGCATGCGCCATCGTCACCGAATAGGTAAGAAGAGATTCCTACCTATTTTATTTATAAATGTGCTGCCTTCATTGATAGGAATTGGATATTGTGGGTGTTTTATTTTTGTGAGTCTGAAATTGTGACATTTTGTAACTCTGAATATTTTATTTGGATATTTGTCACAGTAATCACTGCAAACTTGCGTTTTATCAGGTTTGCGTCGCCAGAGGACGCTGTCTATTGAAATTAAATTTGTATACTGTAAAAGATGAAAACTTACTGGAGGGTCCTGGGCATAAGTCAAATTTGTTGCCATCTTGAGGGGCTAAGCAATTCTTTGACGGCATCTTACTGATAAATTTATGTGGCATTTCATGTGGCATTTTCTCTTATTGTGTGCATCATAATTTTCTATGGGTATTCTGCCTTTAGTTTTCACATCGCATTTCATGTTATACGGCCTTGTGTAGGATTCCTTTTGTCCATGCAATTGTGTTTAAGACAATATATTGGTAAGATTTGCTCATCTTACTGTTATATTTGAACAAAAAATGTTCAAAATCTCAACTATTATCAACTATTATCAACTATTAGTGTTACTTTGTAGAATTACTGAAAATACTTTATTTTAGCTGATATTATTTTTCGTTGAAAAGACTGTTTTATATGGAATTTATTTTCACTGATTTCTAACGAGTCAAATGTAAAATATAGGGAAAAAGGTATATTCCAGGCAAATTAATTCTAAGCGAAATATGAAGTATTTTACAGTACTTTGTGTAATACTGCAACTGCAATGTTTTTATTTTGTTATCTTTAGGGGAATACTTTCTGTTGGTCCTACTATTGGTCCTCGCAGTGGTTTATTTAACCAGATGCCAAGCAGTAATCAAGGCATTACGATACCAAACAGAGGCAATGCCATGCCATCAGGTCTAGCAAGTCCAAACAGACAGTCACCAAGTATACTAGCAATGCAACAAAAACAACAGCAACAGCAACAGAGGCTAGGACTCGGCACGTAAGTAATCATGGAATTTTTTTTTTAAGTGAAGGCTTGTCCAAATGTTCAAAACAGGCAGATTTAACCTGAGATATGTGTCACAAAAGTGCTAAAACAACTAACTATTGATACTAATCACTCACTCACATTGAATGAGTCCCAAGTGACGATAACATCACATGCTAAAAACGGAAAGGCTCATGGGTAGACGTTTGTTTGTAAACAATGACACGCA